GAAAACAATATATTTAATCTTGGATTTTAGTCTCAGAAACTGACGGTAGATGCAACAAACAGAAGGATAATCTATGAATTTTGATGCAAAACATCGTTAACTCAAGAATAGTTATTACATCAAAGTTAATTATTACATAATTCCTGTCAGTCTAATAAATAGTCAAGATTCAACAGCGCTTGCACATCTTTATGCAATCCTAGTGAATGGCTGACAGTAGTCAGCTTAGAGAAGTGACTGACGTGTGATCTTGACCGAATAGTTAATAAAGTGTCATCAAGTTAATTGACGTAATGTTTTACATATAACGACGTCGTTAAACTATTATATTTAACAATCCTTATAATACAATAAAACTAGGAATAGATGATTTACTAATATAAACGTACTGTTTCGTATCTAATGTCACTATGGAGAAGATTACGAATCGAGTAACTCGTTAAAGCCGTAAACGCTACAAAAGCTCACAAACAGTGGTAGAGCCCGCTTTAACACCTTTCCACGAATTGGCTCGGCTCGCCCGGTGAAATACCACGACCACACAGAAGTCAGGCGTGAAGTGGAAGCAATTCCGCGTTTCGTCTGATGAATGTGCGTCCCGGAGGCCTAATTTAGTCCTCTTTCCCTTCCCACCCTTTTTTCTTATAAGAAAAGAATGGGAAGTGGAAGTGGACTTTCCGAATGAGAGGATGCATGGAAATGAAAGACATTTTCTTTCTGTGCATCCTCTCCTCCGTCGATTAAAGGTAGGCGACGCATATGCGATTGCGTATGTCTATGGGCAACGGTCACTTCGCTTTTTTAGCGATATCAGGTGGCCGCTTGCTCGTTCGCCGCTTTATGATATATATAAAAAAAGAATGTACTCAAAAATTCTATACTTACGAATTTTATTAACTCTTAAAATGTTACAGATAAATACATTACCTATACAAACGAATAAATGTCATTATAATAGTTGATTAAAAATAGATGTCATTGGACGATTCTTTGTGCAAAGCGTTGCCTAGAAACATATTTTCTTAGTATTGTTTCTGCTTTCATAACGACAGTTGTACGATTCGTTTACAGTTGTGTATAATAATATTGACATTTCTTTTAATATCCGCCCAAATAAAAAAATGACATATAAATCTATTATAGCTATTTTTAATTTTGTTTAGTTTTTTACCTGACTGACTTAAACCAATTTTTAAACTAAAAATGTGTTATGTATATTCCAAAGTTCTGTAATACATACTACGAATATTATATTGTCAAAAAGAAAAATAAAATTATAATAAAAACAACAAAAATGGAGAAATGTGCAAAAATTAAACATACTGTTTGTGATAATTTGAAGTCTAGTCGAAAATAAATCTAAAATCTTTTAGTACAAATTGTTTCCTATTCCATTATAAGAACGCTTTAATGTAATTGAGGTTATATTAAATTATTTAAGTACGTACACTTAAGCAATCAAGCTTCCAGTTGAATGAATAACAAATAAAAAATTGTCTAATTAATCCACTGACCTCTATAAATGGAATGGCCCGTAGTATTTTGTGCCTATTCCATTTTCAACATTTTGGTGCTGATGGTAACGTTTTGTTACAGTGGAGTAAATTCGAACTAGTAATATAGATAGAATCAACTGTCACGTGACATGAACAGGTGCGTTTAAATTGGAACGATACAAAAGCTGTTATTTCTTAGCAATCGCCTATCCAAAGATCAGTGAATTAATCCCAAAAATCACTGCTTGTAAATTTGACATTGACATCACGAATCGGCTTTGCAATCGTAGTGCCGTTAACACAAAAAAATCGGCAAGTATCGTGAATTTGGAGTGCAATCGAATTAGTTCCGATGAATGTTACAGAACCGAGTCATTGTGCCACGAGGTACAACACTATCGGAACATGTTACCGTATTATATAACATTACGATATCAATATAAACTCGAAATACAAAACTCAACTAAACAGACAAATGGTGTGAAAATAAATATTCAATTACGCGTACATCGACCTTTTTAGTTCAACTGGCTATAACCTTAATTTTAACTAGCCTGTATCACTATTTTGACTTTGTTCTCTAGTCATCAATTCTATAAAACATAAAGTGACATCTATGGTACGAAAAACACTTTCAGATACTTTTTGACATTGATAAAACGGCGCTAGTGAGCTATTATTTATAATAGTTTGACTTATGCCAACCGGGTCAAATATCATCAGCGCAAATTACATCACTCGGCTTGCTATTTTATGACACATTACATTTTGAAATTGCAAAAGGGTTTAGGTTACAAAAGAATAAATCTCTAAGCGTCGGCGTTTACGATTTACATCATATATGCGTCTAAAATACTTCAAAATTACCCCAAGGAACCGCAATCGGTCCACAACTTGCCTAACGTGTCGATCGAACACGTTTCTACTTCGGAATTGATACTAGCATTATACGTATGTTAGAATTAACCTCTTTATCATATTCTAAATGTTATAAATAACCTATACTATTTTTTTACATATAGTAATAAAAATTCTTTAGGGAATTTCAAATATTTTTGACTAGAGAAAGATTCAGTATCAAATAAATTAATTGAAAATAATGATTAGTCTGTCAAACTGCATAGCTTATGTTGTCTCATGTCAATGACCTCTATAAATATATTTTCACCATTTTTTATAGATGTACCAGTATATAACTGGCAACTTATAATAATTGCAACGTAATTACGGTGCGTGTTGGTCGTGAACATCGCATAATGTCACGTCGCTTAAACGCCTCATGCCATTATCGAAAGTTATGTGATGTTACCTACGATAATCTTATAACGCGTAGTTTATTGACCATCTAGACTACTTATAAACCTATTCTACCTATTTGATAAATAGATAAATATTCTTATTGGATAAAAAAAAACGTTTTTAATTCAATTTTACGTTCCTACAGTCGTATATTTTACCTAAACGTCAATACGTAATTATTTACTGTACATAGAACCGGATATAAAACAAAGTCAATATAAGAGCGTGCTTTAATAGTTACAGCACGAGTGAGATCCGTAACGATCTTCTGCCCGGTAGCGTGTCGGATCGCACCAACGCATCCCAGATAACGCAACACTGAATTACGTTATATTATAAAATTAAGGCTCTCTACATACGAAACGAAGCATCTTGAGTGTCTTCGAAAGTATATATTGTTTAGAATAAAATTAGATATTTTTATTAACAAATCACAGGTAAGGACTTTAATTAAATACGTTCATTATTTTCTTTTAACAAAAAAAAATATTTTGCGCCGGTGCTGGTTTACTATTATTTTGATATGGAGTGAATATGTTAATAATAAAATACATATTTATCATGTTTCGTTTACATTGCCACTTAACTAGCATCATATGGCATTGTGGTTAATCTAAACATGTAAAACAATTTGAAAAAAAAAATAGTGCGATTCGTCCGCTCCGTATGTGGTAAACCTTAATTAGTCCGAGCGCGGTCATCGCATCTTAGAAAGTCATGTTGACGTTCTAACGATGAATTAATTTGCAATATTAACATTTATAAATACGAAAGTAATTTTAATCCATAGCTTGCTTTTGATGGGAATTAAAAAGTAGAGTTAACAAGAAAACGTCGTAAATAATCAATAGTTCTCTTGAATAGCCGTCATAAATATTTGTAATCACGACATAAATAGAGAAAAAAGATAGCTTTTAATTCCCAAATATAAATAAAGTGCGCGTCAAATTAATTCTACATCTAGAATTAAAAATGTACTACAAATCTTAAGTACACGACTGTACCAACCTTCTTAATGTTCATTATCGTAAAACTGTAACACTTATTGACAACATCATTGAACTGTGTAACCGATATTATAAGGATGATTTAATGAACTGTAACATCGTGTCACGGAGAGGGTAATACAATAGGGATAGACAATGCTAGCTGCCTTTGACTTTTAAAAGACAAGATCTGTCTTGCGCTCGCATTCTTTATCAGGTTAAACAAACAATAAGTTCTTAACATTTGCCTGTGTACTCCTTTTGTGTGCATACATTTTTAAGTCAGTATACGTTCATAGTCATTACAATTTTACGTAACTGCTATAATATGCGCATATACGATTGTCTACTTTACCTAACCCTACCGGGAAAAAGTATGGATTCTTTTCGTACAACTGTAGCTCTTTGCCTAGTCCGTTTCTCTATAGTTAAAGCTGGCTGCAAAACGTTGATTCACTTGAACGAGCAACCTTGACGCGTGCGAAGGCATCGAGTGACTTCGATGACAATAAACATTTCAATCAGTAAAATGATACACAAAATTGACACGTATCACTAAAGGTTTAAAGTACAATTCTCTATAAACTCTTTGGCTAATAAATGTAGAAATATTTGCAAATGCATATAGTTATGTGCAAGCTTAATCGTGGTTAAGCCCAGTCGTTTCAACACGGGGATGTCCAAGCGGATTAAGTTATATAATTTACTGTCCAGTCTATTTGAAATGTTTTCTTTGATATCCGTATTTGATAAGACATGTTTTAATAGTATTGCCTTCTATATAAATCCGGGTTATGATATATTAACTAACACGGGTTATACTTCTTAATAAACATCAGTTAGAAAAACTTAGCTTATGAAGACTCAAGTTGTTTTCCATAGATTAGTATTCAGAAAACGAACTGAGACCAATTAACGTTTATAATCTATGCCACATCATAGTATATGAAAGTTAATGACTGAGGCAGTATTGTACTGCCAAAGATCAAGGAGACCAGACGCTGATAATGGTATAGTATGTATTACAGTCTATTAATAGCCTGTCTTACTAAATTAGAAATAAAAAATAAGTACTGTGATTGATTTCAAAATGAAGAATTTATGCATTGTTATAAAAATTAAATTAAATATATAGGTTTTTTAATAAAATTCCGAGTACCAAACAGATGGAGAAACCATAGAGTTCCTGACATTCAGAAATTTAAAATCATTTACATACCTGCGCAGTCCTAAGGGCGGTGGTAGCAACCGCCAGCAATAACAGCGCCGCCGCGCTCCACACGCCGGCTCGCATCCTGCCAACTGCAACAAAATATTACATTCAAACAAAATATACAGAATTACCCCCCACATCCTGATAAAGAAACGCAACCAGAACAACGTCATCGGCGGAGAAACGTGGGCTGTTATTAAAAAAAAACGCAAGTGTCACAAGGCTCAAGTTTAGACTGGTAACAATTGGAATCGACGTATTATGGATTTATAGTTGTTTTTTTACAAAGATCGTTAAAATTTAAGACAATATAGAATTTATTTCCCAACTAACTGCACAATCTTGTGAGAGGTCATACCCAGCACTGGATTGTGAACTGGTCACGACAAACAAATGGACAAAAGAACAATTTGTCCTTGCTGTGACAGATATCGGGGCTTAGAAAGGTTAACATTACGTTATTTTCGCACTGAAAATAAATATTTTCAATTAAAAATAATCTCTCAAATCCTTTCTACAACATTCTAGATAGTTCTAAATCAAATAACATACTAATAGACTATTTAATTCTTTAAACTTTAGTTTCTCACTCTAAAATCATTGCCAAGCTCAAGAGAAATTCTGATGGCGAACACAATTGATACTTTGTCATATTTCTATGTGGTTTTAATAACTTTGCATGCTATTATTGCATTTACTCAGATTTGTTTTTGGTCGTAAATACTTTCCTAGTCTTGTGCTATGGACTTAGGGTCAATAAATAAAATATTTTATAGCTACAGGCTTCATTCGAAGCGCAACGACTTTCACTAACAAAATATCAGTGACTTTCGATTCGACTCGCCAAAGCTCTCATTATTTCATATTAGTGGAAGGCATAACTACCAATGTTTCCTATTTTCAACTTGACAAAAAAAAAAGCAAGCAAAATTTCTTCTTCATAAATTAAATAAAATCTTAACTACTTAAATTCAGTCTTTGTTATCTACATTTTACAAATAGAACTATATCCGAGGGAATCCTCAACTCATATCATTTATCATCAAAAACGCATAGTCATATCTACGTATAATAAAACGTATCTAACTACAACGGTACCTATTACACAAACTCTATCAAAGACTAACTCTATCCATGACTGACATTAATAACTACTTGCGATTGTCAATTTCCTCTCCATCACTTAATTTAAAGTCCACCCTCAATGTACTAATTTGAAGGAATTGAGCGGTTCTTTTACCCATCATGATAACGTTATCAAAAAGATAAAACAGCTAAGCTTCCTGTTTACTTCGGTAGTTATATTGTTATGTTTTGAGGTAAATAATAACGGTGTGATCAAACGCGAGGAATGTGCGAATGCAATCTGTTGCAACAAACTTTCGCCGGCTGACCGCCGACAAGCCCACATGCTATCTGGAGCGATGACGTATGACGCAACGATATAATTGTTTTTCAGTACTACAAGGGGCCAATTTTTACAGTCAACGAATACCACGTATGGATGGGCCTGTAATCATAGTGTACGACGATGTCACGCAATTCGGATTGCCATTTTGTGAAACGGATGGAAAGTTCCAATTTAAGTAAATCCTAAATGATTAAGTAAGTTTGAGCTCATTTTATCTCATACTAGCTTTTACCCGCCACTCCTGCGACGAATTGAAAAAAACTTAATTACTAAACTTAAAAAAAGCTTTTGTGGTCTTCCAGACTACGTTTAATTCTAGAGATATCTTCTAACAAACATCCATCCATGAATCCATCCATCCAACAATCAAAAGTTTAGTTAGCACTTATAATATTAATAAGATATTAAAGTAATATGTGCAACGAATTATTTTTTCCAATATTTTTAATTTGTGATTATTTAATTTATATTTATTTGCTTTTTAATTTATAATTCAACTTAGTTTAAAATGAATTAAGCAAATTCATAGACCATTATGTTTAAAATTAAGTAAAAATAAACAAATTTTATAAATGTAGAATATTCTCTATCCACGATGACATAATCAGAGTCAACAGTTATGTCAGATGCGTCACCTTTCGACGCGTTACACTTTTTGTCAGAAGAAAGTTTCTAATGGCACGGCATTTAGGAACATAATTAAAGCGTGATTTATCTACGATTAACCTGAATTTATTACAACTGTCGGTCGACTTTGATGCTTAAATATATGAAACAAAAGTATTATTATACTATAATTATTAAATAATAAAATTATTACTTTTTAGGCGCATATTTTTATTTTTGCGTCCATTTCTATTTTTATTTTAAACTGGTAATTTTCATTCGACTGGTGAAGAGAATAGAAGATATTCATAACTTTATTTCTAATGTTGAAGAATACACTCCTGGACAAAATATATAGTATAGGTTTTCTTCGTAAATCAGGACCGAAGATATATAAGCGATCCATGGACAAGAATAGCGGGAGACATTATAATGTGATACTAGATGAAGACCTTTGTCAAATTGGAATACAGACAATAATTGCTTATATTCATTTAATGTGTTATGTATTATGTTTATATACATTTTCCGAATAAAGGCTTATTGAATTACATTATTGAAATATTTTCATTGAACTCAAAGTTCTCGTTGTTTGGTTCCAACCGAGGTTTTGCTTTTACAATCGGGTCACATTCTTTCTTGAATTACCACCTTGAGGTGAAAATGTACATTTTTGTACTTTTGCATAATACATGACATTATAAATATTATCTGTATACAGATGATACGCGAAGTGTAATGTCTCTTTCTCTTCCCACCGTTTTTCTTATAAGGAAACGATGGGAATTGGAAGTGGACTTTACGGATGAGAGGATGCATGGAAAGGTAAAATATTTTCTTTCTGTGCATCGTCTCCTCCGTCGATTAAAGGTAGGCAACGCATAAGCAATTGCGTATGTCTATGGGTAACGGTCACTTCGCTATTTCAGCGATTTCAGGCCACTCGCTCGTTTGCCACCTTATGATATAAAAAAAATCCTATAAGTTGGCTAACCACAAATTTTCACAAACTAAACATCAGATAGCCTCTTATAATAATACCATCACTTAAGTACCTTGACCGACATTTTGTAGATGTTCAAAAATAACGAATGGTACACGATAAATAACAGTTGATCATCATTGTATTATAATTTAGACTGGAGGGACCTCATACGTAATACAAAAACTCACCTGATAAATAAATTTATTTCTGGACCTCATAAAGAGGTTAAATTGATCTGGTTTTTGACTAATAAAAAATTCTAGATTTTCAAATTAGTTGTAGAAATTATTAATAATACATATCGGTCTTTAAGATTCCTGAAAGTTAATTAAAATTACTTTGAATTGTCAAATCAAACAAACAAACTTACCTTGTTAACTAATACTGTTTGTTTTTGTCATAATCATCAATGTGGGAAAATATCCGACAAAAGCGTGAATAATGTTGCTAATTTGTTGATTGTTTAACAAACATCTAAATAACACGCTGATGTTCAATTATAAAAGAATTCGAACGATATGTCATTGACCTTTAAACTGATGCAATACATATTGTTCTGAAGAGCGTTATATCATCTTAAACCTCAAGGTGACAATCACAATGACAATTACATAGTAATGATATAAAATGAGACCCAGTGGAGGACTATCATCCGCTCCAAATGTAACCCACAAAGACCACGATTCTGAGAAATGAACCGTCTTAGAGAGTGACGTTAAATATAGTGTCCAAAAGGCTATGTTAAATATTTGAAGTAAGCGTATCGTCTTAAAAAAATCTAATAATACTAGTACATTAAACGTTCGTATATACTCTTAGTAAGTCATTTCAAAGCCAAGCACTTTCTAAACTACTTGCACTCTACTTTATTTCACTATTTTAACATATCAATGACACTTTCTCTGTAATAGTAACGTAATAGCATCGAGAGATCGCGATGTGTACATAATCTGTGATAAATTGGTTTATATCTAGATAGGTTGAACATATTAGTATTATTATACTAAAGTTGTATGAATCCTTTTTTTACGTTTTATAAGCTAGCGCTTGACCACGATCCCACCTGGTGAAGTGGAGATTTGGTCGAAAAATGGTACGCGCTAGCTTAGTAAGTGCCTATTCACTCTACTTTTGAAGGTCCCAATATCATATTTGGACGGAAAAACAGAGGCTGGTAACTTGTTCCAATCCTTTGCGGTACGCACAAGGAACGATGCTTCGAATCGCTTCGTTCGAACGCGCGGTACCTATACCACAAAAGGATGGATTCCCGCCGTATGCCTGAACGTCCGGTGGTAAAATGGTGATGGGGGAATTAACTCGTGTAATTCCTGCGCACATTCACCAAAATGAAGCCTGTAGAACACCGTCGTCCTCGTCGCCTGTAGAATCCTATTGTCGATCTTATGCTATTCTGGTCAAAGTGTTCTAAACAACTCGCACACAACGTTATTCTTTGGTCAGAAAAGCTACGTAATATTTTTTAAACAGTAATTTTAAGTAAGATTAATTATGATAGCCATGGGTTGTGGCTCTATTTAACTAAGTTCCGCACTGTTAATTCCCGAATGGAATATTTGGCGTTTAAGATACTACAGAATAATACTTGAGTTTTGGTAAAGATTACACTGGTTAAGGTAGTTAATGTGTATTCTTTGATTGAGAAATTTGCCCATAGTTTTCATCATACGAGAAATTTATGTTTCGTTTGTGTTGTTGATTACCTCGGCAGGGGCACTGTTACACCCCCAATTTAACTCTAGTCTAATACAATATCGTTCACGTCATAATACGCAGTAATAAGCAAATGTTTGAATAATTAATGAATTATTAGGAAACCAATTACTTTTGCTTCACCGTTCACTAAACAGTATTCACTCCTGTGACCGCCATTTCAGCCGCGGCGAGCGAAATGACTCGTATCCAGATTGCAAACAGGTTCCACCGATACACTTTCTAAGTTATATTGCAAATGTATTGTGACTTGACCCACTTTTACGCCTATTTTTTAATCTAGACATTAACATTATCACAACTTATCAAATAGTCTTGTGTTATTTAAATCAGGTTTTAAACTTTCAAGGTCTGTAATGACACTTGTATGTGTCATACAATTGAACTGTCGCCGAGTTGAATAAACCACCTATAGTTTAGTGGTTAGGCATGTGGACTACCGGTATTGTGGTCATGAGTTTGAATCCCTACATTGACTTTTAGTTATCTAGCATAAAGAAAAAGTAAAGTTCCGAGCGTAATAATTTAGATTTTATTAATATATACCCAGACTTAGAAAAAAACTGACTGATTAAGACTCTAATGCATGAAATAGTAGCAGGATGATTTAATAACGCTAAAAAAAAGTTATGGTGAGTGAGATTTAAACCCACAGACATAAAAACAAACTTACATATGACTGAAAAATATTACCTTGTCAGTCGGGAAAAAAATATAACACTGAATAGAATAGTTCGATCCTTACTCTTACTCATATTAAACTGTTAAGTTCAAAAAAAATTATAAAATAATTAAAAGTTGAAATGTAACTTAAAACGACCAAGTTACAGCCACAATTGATATCATTGTCGACCTTTCAACAAGGTTAATTAGTCATATTTTCCACTTAGTTGCGTAACTTAATATTCATATTTAAACAATGTTGTTACTATGGTTACATCATGTTTATCCTAAAGATTTCAACTATACGACTGAATTTTTTTCTTTCCTTTAAGCAACTCCAAAAAATAAGAACCGTGGAATTGATAGCATAAGATTATATATTTCTGCTTTCTCTCTAAATTCTATTCCTGAAAGTTTTCAATAATTTTATATGTAAGCATCTATGTAATAAATGGAAATCGTTCACATTCAAAGCTCAAATGCAAAGCGGCGACAGGAAAGACTTCAACGCGCGGATTGTCATTTGAAATTTTTCTACTGTGTACCGTACACGGTACGGTACGTTACGGTTTTCTTTAGTATTATTATGAAAATTTATAATTTTCACGTAAACATTACTCATGAAAATTTTGTGATAGCGCCCATCACTCATTGCAATTTAAATTTTAACACTATCACTCCAAATTAATCTCGATAATTCGATCTGTAAAAGTGCAAGTATTCGACTTAAACGCCTGCATTTAAGGGTCATTTTACTCTGAATTTATACAAGGACGTGACTTTCACTGGTTACATTAAGTTTTTTTAAAACTTTTTCTCATCGTTCAAGGCTTTCTTTCTGAAGTATGTGAACGCTTTGTTTTTGAGTCGGACAATGTTAAATTACTTATGTTCCGCTCATAGTCGGCACAAGAAAGTAATGTTACATTGTATTATTTAGATGATTATATAAATAGAGTTTAAGGGCATTAACCTTGGTGAATGTAATACAGATTTCCATAACATCTTTATGAATAAGTGTGAATTGTATTATTTTTAGGGTTCCGCACCTTAGGCCGCGGACGAAAGCCCAAGCGTGCCTGTGGCCTCGCCATGACGCGTAGGAGGAACAGTAGGTATGCTTCCCATCCGAAAAAGAATTACACATAACTACTGCGTAAAGCATTCCCCTTTGAAAAAAAAGGGTTCTGTACCTTAAGGGAAAAAATCGGAAACCTTATAGGATCACTTTGTTGTCCGTCCGTCTGTCTGTCAAGACTCTTTTATAATTAAATATACCAACAAATGTATTCGAACTAATAATCCTATTCAAAGATTATATAAGGATATAGAACTCTAGTGTAAGTGATTCGAAGCCTAAGTATAATTATTGAAATATTGAACAATATTAAGATTTTCTTTGAATACTACAACTCTAACTAAATTATTCCATACGCTTCTTATGTTCTTCATAAATTGTAAAAGAAGAGACAATACAGAAAATAGTCAAGACTTTACACTCTAATAGTACATGTCTATGAAACTTGTCTTTTTATATTATTCGGTGATAAACGATCGAGGGGCCAGCTGAATTCGCCGAAATAGCAAAGCGACAGCTGCCATAGATAACGACGGCTAAGGAAGCAGAGACAGAGAATGCTTCCTATGCGTCCATTCCTCTGTCAAATACAACTCAGGTTCTCATCTTTTCCTTATTAGAAAAGGGGGACAAAGGAAAGCAGACTAAAATTAGGACGTTCTCTAAAGGTTTTTCTACAGTTATTACTTCAATAAATTATACCGAACTAGCTGTCGCCCGCGACTCCGTCCGCCCCGAATTAAAAAAAAATTTAATTGGTAGCCAATGTGTTCTTCTAGGTTATGTTCTACATCTGTGCCAAATTTCATCAAGATTCATATAGCCGTTCTGGAGATTTCTTCAAGAAATAAAATATTATAAGTAAAGTTTAATAATATTACAACGTATTTTTTTAAGTCAACGATTGCTACAAATATCTTATAATAGCAGTATATTAAGCGACCAGCCGTTGCCCATGTTCAGTGGACGTCAATTCACTTTCTATCGCCGGCTAAACTTTGCCGAGCAAAGAGTCGTTACGTTTTTACGCGTCGTATTTTTTGCTTCGATCGCACGAACTATCTTACTTATTGCACCGGTTTATATATGAATTTACTTCCGTCAGCTCGCTTTTAAAACATTTATTTTCTTTTAAAATATTTCATTATGATTTCTTATAAACATTCTTGTGCATAAAATGCAGATTATAACAGTGATAAAGTTTTAAATATTAATGTATTTAATTTTAGATGTTTTTAAGAAAAGTGTCGCTTTTTACTTTTCCTTCTTCTTGAAGTCCTAAAATCTCTAACTAAACTAATAGATTGGCGGACTAACTCAGTCGGATTATAAATTTAAAATTCCAATTATATTTTATTTATTATCTAAGGGTAGCTCTGATGCCTTTTTAATAACCATAAATCCATAATATTGTTGTATTTGCCTACTTCAGTTCAATAGTAAGTCGTGGTTAACATTACAAGCTTCAAGTTCATACAGGTCTGTGAGTTGTCCGGTGCGAACGTAAAGAAATGCGTCGAGATCATTTACCCGCACTCATTATAGCGTTTCACTTTCATCGATAACATTCTGTGACACGTAAATAAATATATTATTAAACATTCACTTTCATATATTTTATAATTTAAAAAAACATACATAAAAATAAGCTCTCATGCATTTTTGAAGGATTGAAAGTAATACCGGTTAATATTAATTTGATTTTAATAAAATGTCTACCTTATCTTGCTTTTAAAGTAACTAACTTTATAAAAAACCTTTGACATCTTAGCAACAAATCTAGAAATGTTTTCATCAAGGCATAGAGTTAGGTGTAAGGGTGTATTTTCTTTTATGACAAGGGGGCAAATGAGCAGCAGGAACACCGAGGTGTTCAACGACGCCCATGGACATCAGCAATACCAGAGGGACCGTGTATTTGATTTAAATTTAATTTTTTAATCTGTTGTTTATAGTATGTTAACACATGATTTATAATTATGCTACAAGCTTAGTGAACCGACAACAAAGATAATTACGCCTATCATAGAGCCAATTTAATTAAGTACAATGGTAAATAATTGAGATATGATACAATTTGGTATTGTGGTGTATTGCTCAATAGTTTGTCACCCGGCAAGGGTGTTGTAGGATTAGTTTCGGATTTTTTTTTAATAATTATTACTAGCTGTCGCCCGGGACACTGTCCGTGCGGAATTTAAAAAAATGAGTAGCCTATGTGTTCTTCCACGCTATATTCTACATCTATTCCAAATTCAGATGATACCTTCAAACAAACATCCATCCAAACATTCGCATTTATAACATTATTATATATAGTACAGTATGATTTAAAAAAAAAATACAATTGGTCTATTGGTTATGTTGACAAGTCAAACTCATTGTTAACTTGATGATTTATATCTATTGGTGTTTTATTCTTTTTTTGTAAAAAAAAATAGTTTTTTTTATTTTTAAATCCGGGAACCAAGTACAAACCGGTAGACTTTCTATATCTACTGTGACGGGGTCGACCACTTCGCCGCTTTAATTGTTACGGTACGAAATACGAATGCAACGCTGTTACCTATTGATTTCGTAAAAGTGTATCAATTTGCAAAATCTACAAAATAATATATCTTAGAAAAGTGAAGAGTGTATTTTTGTATGTCTTATGTCTAAAGCTTAAATAATTGAGGGATGTGGGAGTGAATCCAGTATATTAAAATGTTGAATTAACTTATTAAAGCTATACTGTCATTATAAGTTATCTTGTGACAAATTTAAATAAGTAGTCGTGACTGGTCACACTCATGGTCGACTGTTTAGAAAGCGAAAGATACAATTATCTATCTTATTGTGCTACGTCTAAAGACTAATTGCGAAAGAAGGAATTATGCTAAATATAAAATCTAATTTTATAAGAATTTGTAAAAATCTTACCTTAGTCAACGTTGTATAATAATCAAATGTAGAAAACAAATAAACCACTATTTTGTTATGTGTAATTCACCATCGTTCCAGCTGGCACTATGATAAAAACACCTTTGTCACCTTCACTGTTAAGAAAAAAAAACTTAATAACTATACGCACAATTCCCGCTAACGCGCGACATTTTTGAAAATTAGCAAATCCTGGATAATAAAACGCGGATAAAGTGTCAACGGCCTCGACGTAATTCGTCAACTGGCCGTCAAGAATCGCCAGAGTTTTCGTTTAACGCTCTACTGCACAACAATTGCGAATTGAGTAAAATTTTTATTCTTTATTTTTAAATCTGCGGTTTGACAGTTTCGAATAATGGCGGGAAGTGTGCGTACGTAGCAAACGTGCGTTCGGAAGCGCGGTGAGCGATCGGTGCGCGGTGAGCGACTGCGGACACTAGCGCGCTCACTACACCCTACCGGGCCTGCCGCCGTGTGTCCAACATATCGGCCGTGATATTATTTCAACCACCACCCTTGCCTGGTCTCCGGTACAACACCGCCACGAGTACATAAGTACACACTTATTCGGATCAACTATAATTGGTACCTGTCTATTATACGTGTACAGAGCTAAACTGGTTACCTTTACTTGTACCGAATACTAAATAAACTGTTTCAGTGGCAATTTTTCACACTGTTTCTAAACGGATACGGTCAGATAACTAATAAAGATAGAATATAACAGCGACTGGACTAAGAGAATACAAATATGAATTCGTATTACACATAACACAATGTCCTGACCTAAATACATGGTAAAGTAGATGCTACAATGCTTTTAAAAGCGTATTTAGTTTGTTGCAATCCACCACGCATTTGTATCAGTTACTCCTCTTATAGCCATACATTTTGCTTAACGTCTACGTAGATACAGGTGTGAGCAAACTTGAGCTTAAGTTTTAAAATTAGTATTTTATTGCGCCATTATTCATTGTGGTTCTTAAACATTTTTTATTACACAGACAACGTTTTTATTACTATTTAAATTTTTATATTGATTATAGATAAATTTACGGTTTTCAAAAATAAACTTCGAATTTGCTCTGAAACAAAAACGAACTAGCAATTTAACAAAATAGTCACTAGATGTCACTACATGTACGATACGACATATATCGTAAATCTTTTTCAGTAGCGCCTGCTAAAAGAGTAACAAAATATTTATCGAGTCGACAACTCTAGGAGAGTACGTACATACGTAATGTAGGCGTTTATATTATTTTTTCCTTATTTAAGATATTGGAACGTTAACTGTGATCGCCATGATTAACTTGGTAGAAACGAGGAAGAAATATATTTTTTTTTACAAACACTGCAAAAAAATTGAAAATCAGGCCCGAGTCAAACATAAACCAACTTTGACAGTTTGACAGCTATTCAGTTATTGTAAACATTTATTTTGGTTAATACTTTCATTAGTGTCACGACCAACATGGTATTTAAAAAGGCCAGTATTATTTTTACTTAATAAAAGTGAAGGTGAAAGTAGAAATAAATCTAAAATCTTATATTTTGTACAAAAAAAGCACGTCCCAATTTAATTGCTATGAGTTTGCCAAATGTTTGTCTTCGTATATTAAAATATTTCCTTGTTATTTACCAAAAATTATAGTTTATCAATAGTATGATATTAAGAAACTTAATTATAAAAATACTACTGATACCTCTTTTCGCAGAGATTTACAACCTCTGGCTAAAGTTCCACCAACTTTACATTACGTCATTTCATTCAATAAGGCCATTGTCGGTCGGATATAGTAAATATCCTTGAACTAACGTGTAGACCCATGATTCAAACAGTGATCTGGTTATTAAATTGCTGTAATGTTTCTTACATTGTAGTTGTGTTTAAGTGTTAGCTTGGTATAGTAATCTGAGGTCTTTAAATCAAGAAAGACTTTCGACTGGAACTATTGGCCGAACCAAAACTTTTGTAAGTTCTTATTTGTTTTTAATTTCTCTTAATACAACCTTGGATACAGCCTTGTTCATGGTAGGTCATGCTCATCGAATTTGTTGGACGTTGATTAGTTTTTCTTTATATATTTATAAACGTCTCGCTACTGTGACTGACGAAAAACAAATGCAATACAGCCATTATCTTATCAATAAAAGATTGTGTACACAAGTGGTAAATTCATAGCGTGTAATGGATGGAACATTAGCAGTCAGTATCAATGTAACTGTGAAATTAATAGTGTTGTACAACACTTTTATTGCAGTATGGAACAAAATGAATTAACCTTAAGTTTCCATAACCTTATAAAGAGAGGTGTGTGCCGTGTAATTATTGTTCACATTGTGTTTAATCGTTTTCATGTGCAAACAAAATATTGTTTTAAGATTTATCTTTCATGTTGGTATCACTTTGGATTACTTGTACCACAACAATCAAAGATTGTGTTTGAAACCGTTGAGTATCAAAAGTTTATTTTTTACCATTTCATTTTACTTCCTACAAATGCCACCTTTTTAATTCATGTTTGTTGTTCTATCTGTGAAATATAGAAACTTGTATTAAAAATTAAAACTAAGTACAAACTACAAAAATAAATAGCTAAGTTTTTTAATGAAATAACTGCGAACCTATGCCTTCAGAAGTCTTCTGTAGCTGATTTTGTTGTTGCTACATTTTCAATAATACTTAATTAAACTAACTTAATTAAATACATTCATTTGTGTACATTAAACACAAAAATAAATATATTTACTTAAATCATATTATAAGAATTCCTACATTGTATGAATTATTAAAAGATTTAATTTTTTTATCTAAACCTAGACTTATATGAACTATATAATAAATAAACCATTGTTATAAATGCAAATGAATGTAAGATTAAACCAAAGCAATTAAATAACATTACAAACCTTTAGTTCAGATTACTGATCAAGTACAATAATATGGGTTTTTCTATGTCCTTTGGAAAAGGAAAATGCTTATTATATAAAATTAACAAAGATGTAAATAATTATATACTATGACTATTTCATCATAGTACATACAATTTATATACTTTGTAAGAAAAATAGTGTGTTGGTGATGTAAAGTAAGGCGCAAAGTTGAATTATCATCATCAGCCTATTTTTATCCGCTTTAATAACTTCAAAAATATATTTTCATAAGGAAGTAAGACTATTTTTGTATCAACGGATGCTACAATCAAATCTTATCTATCCATCAAGATTATTTATTGAATTAATAAATGCTTTAACAATGTCTGAATAGAATTCATTTGTCATATACTTTATTAGATAATGTATATTCAATTAAGTGATAACATATAATCCTAAACTTGATGCAAACATAGTTTTTCTTGCTGCATAAAACTGCCTAAAATAAAGATTTCCTTTGGTGATCTTAGTAATTCATCATGATACCCTTTTTTCTAATGAGAGTTGGCATAATATGTACAGTCAGGATTCTTTGTTGTGTTCTACTTACAGAAGTTGCCTTGTTCCTTGCAATGAGACAAACTTTTTTTTACAAAATAACCAATTAAGTAGCAGTGGACGACGAAAACACCAACATAATTATTGAGTACCACTGACCGACCTTTTTTAATATTTAAAAGTGTAAAATATCTGTTGTTTCCAAGTCTCAATTCTTATAAAAAGTTCAAATTACTATTGCTTTTAATGTGGACTACCATCGGATTCTCTGATAGTACTACTTCTACTTATCATGTCCATTAGCCATTACATCTGAAATCACTCCCTTCTCGTGCAAATCGTATTTCACACAATCTAAGTAATTACCAACCTTTATATGTACACTCTACTCTTATTTACATATGTAAATGTACATAATATATATGTAAACCTTGTATCATTTCATATGTATGAATGAGCTAGAAAATACCCTATCAATACATTCACTTGTTCCACAGATGAGGAACAATACAGTTATACAAACTACGGTATGGAGACTCCGACGCCAACGACCCCTGGCGACTGTCTGCCCGGTATCTTCCAGCAGCTTGACTCTCTGGCCGGTGTTGACTCAGACTTTGACGAGAGCCTTGCAGTGCCTGAATCTCTATCCGTTATAGATATCAATAAAATTGATAATAAAGAAGAGACGGATGCTAATGGTAAGTTCTACTTCTTTAAAATTAATGTATAAAAATTAGCTGTTAATAGTACTATAGTAGTAATCATGGGTATCATTAGCCGACGATCTTGGCTAGGTCTACAGAGATGGGGTCAGCTACCCTGTATTGTCTTTTGAGAAGTAATTTTTATAACTATTTTACATTTTTCAATTCTGTAGGATGGAAGCAGCTACCCCTCCTTATCCACATAGTAGGTTAACGAAATTATGTGACTCTCAGAAAGATTGACTTAGTGGTTGCATTCATAACGTTAGTTATACATGATAAGATTTATATGATTTTGATATTAGATCTAGGAAGTAACTATCAATCTGTATCTGCCAACAAGTCGTCAGATAAATTTTGATCGACAACAAGACTGATAAGATCGTATGGTAATTTTTGTAGGTCATATCCTCTTTTATTATATTTATTTTTAGAATATATGTCAAACTGTGATATGGTAGAGTTATTTAGCTCGCTAGATAACAGGGAATTTTAAATTACTTATGGGTTTCTAAGGCCAAAATATCCATTTAAAAATATATTGTTATCTGTATTTTGTCAAAGATAATAACAGGGACGAAGATATGTTTTATACGGACTTTTTCGGTATCAGAAATCCACGGTTAATATTTAGTAATGAGTGGCTATCGATTGTTTTTTTGTCAGAAACTTTTTTTTGTATTTCCATTATTTTCTTTATGGTCTGCCTAATATAAATTTTGCCGTATAACAATAACATGTATTGTTATCTATTTGCAATGTCGTGAAGCGTGAGTCAGGCGCGTCTTAATTACCTGCAATATATTATATCTATTATTTATTAATATCAACTATCGTCATTAATTCCGAAATATAAAATTTTTGTCCTAAGTGCATTGAATTGTAAAAATAGATTTTTTGGAATAATTTTCCAGCCAAAGAATACATCCAAATACGACAAAGTTTTGCTTTTTTACAACTTTTCGTCTTTTTGGTAGATACAGTATACAAAGTGAGTTAGAATTTTATATTAATTCTCTAACTCGTCTTTGCTCTAACGGCATTGAATACACTTTAATAAGTACTTATGATTAATTTAAAATGAATTTCCGTTACGGTCAATGCATAATTAAAATGATGCCTGTTAATGCTCATACCGTTATCTACAGACAAATAAACATTACTTTAGGTTTCCATTGTCGAAATACTTTTAAAAAACATATCGTCGTCCCTTTCATTCTATTTGTAAAAGACAGAAACAAAAATGTTTTGATACATCTATTATGGTAAGCTTCCTCAACAGTAGCAATAATCTGGTTGTATACGTAAACAG